CCAGTCTCCTGCCTCTGCCACCCAAGGAGCTGGGACTACAGGCGCCTGCCACAACACCCAGCTATTTTTTGGTTGCAGCTGTCATTGTTGTTTGGTGGGCCCGGGCTGGATTCGAACCCACCACCTTAGGTGTATGTGGCTGGCGCCTTAGCCACTTGAGCTATAGGCACCGAGCTGGGTCTGATTATATTTGAAATCTGGATCTGTTTCTCATGGTGTTAGCATAATTAAAGGTGATATCCTTCCTCTCAAAGCAACAAAACAATCATCCTTTCTTTGTAATTCTGAGTTTGTGGGCAGCACCTATGGCTCAGTGAGTAGGGCACCAGCCCCATATACTGAGGTTCAAACTTGACCCTTGCCAAACTGCAACCAAAAAAAATAGCCGGGCATTGTGGTGGGCGCCAGTAGTCCCAGTTACTTGGGAGGCTGAGGCAAGAGAATCACCTAAGCCCAGGAGTTGGAGGTTGCGAATTATGTGACGCCACGGCACTCTACCTAGGGTGACAGAGGGAGACTCTGTCTCAAGTAGACAAGCATCTGAAACCATGATCTTTATGGACCCTAATGTAAACTGGTACCTGAAGTTTTTTCCCTGATCAGGTGCTGCACTTGGAAGTCCAGGCCATTTTTGGCGTCACAAGCTCACAGCAACCTCCAACTCCTGGGCTTAGGCAATTCTCTTGCCTCAGCCTCTGTAGCAGCTGGGACTATAGGCGCCTGCCACAACGCCCAGCTATTTTTTTTGTTGCAGTTTGGCTGGGGCTGGATTTGAACTCGCCACCTTTGGTATACAGGGCCGTATATGGGGCCGGCGCCCTACCCACTGAGCCACAGGCGTTGCCCCAGGCCATTTTGTTTGGCTTGATTTTTATGACATGCAAGAGAGGTGATGAGTTTTAAGGAGAAGGAACCTGGGACCAGTCAGTCCTGGCAATCCTGTTACTAGCTGTCCAACCATAGGCAAGTCACTTAATCTCCGAAGTTATTTCCTCACTCATGTTAGATCCAAAGATTTATTGTGAGCGTCATTTTATAGCAGTGTGTGGGAAATTCTTTGAACATTGTATAAATATAAGGGATTGTGCTGTGTCTGTGGAAGCCAGCCTGTTTTGTTCTTGGTGTATGGAACAAGCATCTGTGGTCTCCAACCCTGGGCTGTGGACTGCTACCAGGCTGTGACCAGTTAGGAACTGGACCCTGCAGCAGGAGGTGAGCAGCCAGGTAGGTGAGCAAGCAAAGCTCAACTTGAAGCTCCACCTGTGTTTATGGCTTGCTGCTCCCTTGCTCCCTCATATTACCGCCTGAGCTGCTCCTGCAGTCACATCAGCTCAGTTAGACTTTTTTTTGAGACAGTTTCACTTTGTTGCCCTTGGTAGAGTGCTGATAACCCACAGCAACCCCAAACTCTTGGGCTCAAGTGATTCTCTTGCTCAGCCTCCCAAGCAGCTGGGACTACAGATGCCCACCACACTGCCCGGCTATTTTTAGAGACAGGGTCTCCCTCTTGCTCAGGCTGGTCTCAGACTCCTGAGCTCAGGCAATCCACCTGCCTCAGCCTCCCAGAGTGCTGGGATTATAGGCATGAGCCACTGCACTCAGCCCCAAGTTAGATTCTTAGAGCAGTGCAAACTCTGCTGTAATCTGCACATGTTAGGGATCTAGGTTGTATGCTGCTGCTGCTTTTTTTTTTGAGACAGAATCTCACTTGGTCACCCTGGGTAGAGTGCTGGGGCATCTTAGCTCACAGCAACCTCAAACTCTTCGGTTCAAGTAATCCTCTTGCCTCAGCCTCCCCTGTCAATGGGACACAGGTGCCCAGCACAACACCCAAGCTATTTTTTTAAGAGACGGGGTCTTGCTCTGGCTCAGATTGGTCTGAAACCTGTGAGCTCAGGCAATCCACCCGCCTCAGCCTCCCAAGTGCTGGGATTACAGGCGTGAGCCACTGTGCTTGGCTATGTTGTATGCTTCTTATAAGAATCTAATGTGTGATGGTATGAGGTGAAAAAGTAATGTACTTTATCCTGACACCATCCCACCCCACTCCCACTCCCATACATAGAAAAATTGTCTTCCATGAAACCAGTCCCTGGTGCCAAGTAGGTTGGGGATGGCTGAATAATATTTGAGGGAATAAAAGGATGTTCCAGAAGCCTGATATCCAGATACCAAGGGCTGCTTTTCCCCTGGGATTAGTAGGATAGTGTTACAGAAAGAGCAGGGGGTTCGGAAACAAGGATACTTGAGCAGTGTTCCACTCAGCTACCCACCAACTTTAGTCATTCCAAATCTTGATTTAAAATGGAAACGCAGGACGGTGCCTGTGGCTCAGTGAGTAGGGCGCCGGCCTCATATACTGAGGGTGGCGGGTTCAAACCCAGCTCCAGCCAAAATGCAACAAAAAATAGCTGGGTGTTGTGGTGGGTGCTTGTAGTCCCAGCTACTAGGGAGGCTGAGGCAAGAGAATCAACCTAAGCCCAAGAGTTGGAGGTTGCTGTGAGCTGTGACACCATGGCATTGTACCGAGGGTGACAAAGTGAGACTCTCTCTCTAAAAAATAATAACAATAATAACAAAACAGAGGCAGCGCCTGTGGCTTGGTGGGTGGAGCACTGGCCCCATATACTGAGGGTGGTGAGTTCAAGCTGCCCGGGCCAAACTGCAACAACAACAACAAAAATAGCTGGGCATTGTGGGTGTCTGTAGTCCCAGCTGCTCCGGAGACTGAGGCAAGAGAATCCTCTAAGCCCAGGAGTTGGAGGTTGCAAATTATGTGACGCCACGGCACTCTACCTAGGGTGACAGAGGGAGACTCTGTCTCTACAAAAAAAAGAAAATAATAATAATAATAAAATAAAATGAAAACTCACCCGCCCATGGGGTAGTAATGCCAACATGGTGGGTTGTGAGGACCCATTATGAGAACATACACAGTGTACCTATCACCCAAATGAGTGTGATTTCTACTTGAGATCTCTGAATTATCTTTCAGATGATGAGCTAGTTGTGAACCCAAAAGTGTTTCCTCACATCAAGCTTGGAGACATTGTAGAGATTGCTCACCCCAACGATGAATTCAGGTGAGCATCCTGTTAGGATCAAGAGAACTGGGCAGCCTACTGGTCCTAAATGATATTTTGTGTAAGGGTGAAAGGTGGACAGGCTAGTAAAGGCTTTTAAACAATGCTCATGCCCTCTAGGATTTGGTAAACCAATACATTTTCAAAAATAGTCTTTATGTTTTAAAGATGAGATGACGGCTCTGAAAAATTCTGTAGCATTTGTCCATTTTCTTTAGTGTCTGTGTAACTTTCCTTGTTTCTAAGGAAATTTTTTCCTATTGTTGTAGTACAAGTTACAATATGTCCACAGTGATCTGTTTGCTTTTTGTGGGGGATGAGGAAAGCTGGGGAGTTACTGCTTACAGTATCTCACCTTTTTGTTGCTTTCTTTTCTAGCCCTCTGCTTTTGCAAGTCAAGTCACTTAAGGAAGATTTACAGAAAGGTAAGAATTACCTTTCTTTTTGAGATTTTTTTTCAGGGTAACAGAAAGATTTTATTTAGGAAGAACAAAGAGACGACCTGGAAGTTGTGCTTGAACCCACCCCTTTCCTCCTCCCACAATCCCTCGCGCTCTTTCTTTCCAACTTGGGCCCTGCAGAATGGCTCCCGCAAAGAAGGGTGTCGAGAAGAAGAAGGGCCGGTCTGCTATCAACGAGGTGGTGACTAGAGAATACACTATCAATATTCACAAGCGCATCCATGGAGTGGGCTTCAAGAAGCGTGCCCCTCGAGCGCTCAAAGAGATCCAGAAATTTGCCATGAAAGAGATGGGAATTCCGGATGTGCGCATTGATACCAGGCTTAACAAAGCTGTCTGGGCCAAAGGCGTAAGGAATGTCCCATACCGTATCCGTGTGCGGTTATCTAGAAAACGCAATGAAGATGAAGATTCACCAAACAAGCTCTATACTTTGGTTACCTATGTACCTATTACCACTTTCAAAAATCTACAGACAGTCAACGTGGATGAAAACTAACTGGTGATTGTCAGACACATCAAATAAAATTTTAAAATTAAAAAAAAAAAAAGAGCAAGGAGAGTTGAAAGTGGCTGTCTTTAAGAGTTTTACCTTTACCATCTCAGAAACAGTAAGAACCCTCTCTTCATAATCTCAGGGAATGTGGGCCGGTACTTCTCTTATCAAATTGTAATCCCTCTAAAAAAATTGTCAGGTGTCAAAACTGCCAAGGAATCTCATTTCTCAGCATCTTGAGGGAAATAAAGAAATTATCTTTGTTTAGACTCATGAGAGAAGTTTATCTGAATATGTGAAAGTTTATAAATAACTGCAAATTGTTGGTAAAACAGATTTTTCTAAATACACACCCACACAAGAGAAAAACAAGTATGTAGATTGCATTATTAATATAGTACATTGTTTCACAAAGTAATTTGTTAAATGCCTATTCTAAGGTGAGTTGGGCAGTGGGGGAAGAAACATATATAGACAATTGCCCAATGGAGTTTTTTATAAACTATCTTTATCCTTCCAACAAATCTTGAGTGAATAAGGAAATTTAGTTTTAGCTGGACTATAATCTAAGTGGAGTCAGAATGGTGATTCTACTTACTCATTCTGCATCTACATTCTTTGATTTTTCCTGTAATAGTTATGCCATGCTACTCAAGGAACCAGGATGTTAACTGGTGGTAAATAATTTAATTACTGAAATTGATTTTCCTTTCTTAAAATAAATTCTTTAAACAGATAATTCCTTTAATAGTAAGAGAAAAAAAAAACAACTTCTGTGTTGCTCTAAATGGCTTTGATGTCAGATGCTCAGGTTTAGCCACTCAATACAGAGGGTGCCAAAAAATGTATATACTTTTTAAGAAAGAAAAAACTGTATTAAAATTGGAATATTCAACATATACTGATAATGTTTGTTATCTTGTATATTTTAAATGTTACTGGTATATATTGAGTATGACAATTTTAATAACAGTGTTTTTCTTTTTAATTGAATGGTAACTATGTACATTAATGCACTTCTGGGGTACAATGTGGTGTTTTCACATACAATTTGAAACATTTCCATCAAACTGGTTAATATAGCCTTCATGTCATTTTCTTAGTTAATGTGTTAAAACGTTCATATTCTACTCTTAGAAAGATTCACTTGTACCCTTGTAAGATAAACCATAGAAGTGATCCCTCCAATCTCCCTCCTTCCACCCATTCCCCCCTCCCCTCTCCCTGATACAGTGTTTTCTTAAATTGTGTATACATTTTTTTTGGCATTCTCTGTATATTAATTCGATTGGAAAATATTCTATAAAACCTTACTCCTAAGAATGGTATTCCTATCCTTACCCCATCTCCTGCCACCCACGGGTTTCTTACTTGCCAGACTTAAAGGCTCATTGAAAAGTTTATTTTTTTCTTAATTACTATGGATACCTTCATTCTAAATGAGGGATTTCTTTTTTCTTATGGATTTTTACAGGTCTTTGAACTTTCTTATGCTACTTAAATTCCTTCTTTCCCCTTCCTTTCTGCCTTCTACTCTCTCCTCTTTTGTCTCTCTTATTTGATTGGAGTGCAGTGGCATCATCATAGCTCTCTGCAACCTCAAATTCCTGGGCTGAAATGACCCTCCCCCCTCAACCTTCTGAGTAGCTGGGACTACAGGTATGCCCCACCATGCCCAGCTAATTTTTCTTTTCTTTCTTTCTTTTTTTTTTTTTTTTTTTTTTGAGACGGAGTCTCAACCTGTTGCCCTGGGTAGAGTGCCGTGGCAGCACAACTCACAGCAACCTCAAACTCTTGGGCTTAAGCGATTCTCTTGCCATAGCCTTCCAAGTAGCTGGGACTACAGGCACCCACTACAATGCCCAGCTGATTTTTGGTAATAGTTGTCATTGTTGTTTGGCAGGCTGGGGCCAGATCCGAACCTGCCAGCTCTGGTGTACGTGGCTGGTACCCTAGCCACTGAGCTACAGGCACTGAGCCTCTTTGTTTTTTTTGTTTATTTGCTTGTTTGTTTTCTGGTGCCAGGAATACAGGCATGAACCACTGCACCCCACCACCTCTCTTTTTTTTAGGAGTGAAATTTATTTATTTAGAGACAGAGTCTTACTTTGTGACCCTCGGTAGAGTGCTGTGGCATCACAACTCACAGCAACCTCAAACTCTTGGGCTCAAGCAATCCTCTTGTCTCAGCTTTCCTAGTAGTTGAGATTACAGGGTGCCTGCCCCCAATGCCCAGCTATTTCTTTCTTTTTTTTTTTTTAAGAGATGGGATCTCACTCTTGCTCAGGCTGGTCTTGAACTCTTGAGCTCAGGCAATCCACCCGCCTTGGCCTCTCAAGAGTGCTAGGATTATAGGTGTGAGCCAGCGACCCGCCTTACTTATTTATTTAATTTCAGATTAATACGAGGGTACAAAAAATGAGGTTACAATGTTTGCACTTGTTAGGTAAGGTCTATGTTGTAGTTGGATCCCACACCCAGGAGGTATGCCGTATACCCATACATTGTGCCTATTAGGTAGGCGCACCTCAGTCCCTCTCCCCGCTTCCCTCCCACTCCTCCCCGTGAGTTGAACTGAGTTTTTCTCTTGTGTGGGCGTGTATTAGTTCATCTACTGGTTTCATATTAGTATTTAGTACATTGGATACTTGCTTTTTCATTCTTGTAATACTTTACTAATCTCACTTATTTTTTCAATTGCTTAGGTTTAAGCTCCTGGAAAGCAGCAAATTGTGCTTTGCCCATGGCAAACGATCAGTTGTGTTGCTTGTTTAATGTCCAAGTATTTATAGATTAGGATGTATGTACTAGCTTTTTCAAAATGTGTTACCTGAGCCAGATTTCTTCACTATTTCAGAAACTATCAGTGTGGACCAGACTGTGACTCAAGTGTTTCGGCTAAGACCTTATCAAGATGTCTACGTGAATGTTGTAGACCCTAAGGTTTGTCTTTGTTCTGGACTTGAATATATTTTTGGAATGACGAGCACCTTTCTTCTACATTAAGTCACTAAGAAAATAATGAGTTACTTAAATATAGTATTAGATTATTAAATATATGGCCATATTAGGTCTTTTAGGTTATAGGTGGTATGTAAGTAGTGTTTCAGATTCTGTATATGAAGCTATATGTAAAATTTTTTATATTTTCTCATTTTTTTTCAAAAAATGATGCTATAATAGGTAAAAATTGTCCAGAAGGTATTGACATTAGTAGGGAAATAAGCACATAAATCAATGTCATGGCTCGGCACCTGTGGCTCAAGTGGCTAAGGCGCCAGCCACATACACCTAAGGTGGCGGGTTCGAATCCCCAGCCCAGGCCCGCCAAACAACA